CACTTTTTGTTGTGCACTTCACAGGAATAAATGACACAGACTATTATACATAACCAAATTTGCTTGAGAGGCTACAGCTAATCATACCATGTTCATACAGCTAATCATACCATACCATACTCAATTCTTGTTTCCAAACATCACTTTTAAAGTACCCATTATCAGTCCTGATGAAAAAAAAAGGGGTTTTCTGTTCAAAAATTCTTTGTCATGTTATGAAAATTTCCTTCTATCTTCTTGTTAATGCCAATTGCAGGACTTGAGAACTTTGTCAATGCCTGGTTTCAAGGAGCTGTGTTAAGTGTGGGTTATTAATTACCATTAAGGTTAAAATTTGATTTTAAAATAATTTGGAAGTAAGATTTTGAGCCAGAGAGACTTCAGAAATGATGAAATTAATTGCTCAGGACTGTTGTTCTCACATTTTTAATCAAATTACTGTTTCTCTACCACTAATGCTAGAGAGCTACAAAGAACTGTAGCACTTTATGTGCTGTTTCAAATTACATAGGAATTTTTTAGAAGTACCCACAACATATCTGATGCTATTTCTTAGATAATTAGTTTAAATATATTTGCATATGTTTAGTATGGAAAATCCAAATAATCTTCCAGATATCTCCAATACCTAACAAACATTCTCCAATCAAATTCAATTGAGTTGTCCTAGGATAAGATTTCTTTGAAATCTTAGTAGTATACAAATTCCTTCTATTTGATTGAAATTCTTCCTCTGTCAGCTTTAACTCTTCCAAATTTCATCATTTTCCAGAAGGTTCTGGAATTCTGATGTTTCCTCTGAAAACAAAACAACAAAACTGTTACTATGCTCACCAATGAACATGCCAGCACAAGAAAGAGGAATTTTTACTGATCTGAAAAACATCTTTTATACTGTAGCAAGTAATAAAATACTTTGACAAACAAAACATTCTAGCAATGCATTTTTGTGGAATCAGTGGTGTTCTGGAACATAAGTAATTTATCAAGGGGAATAGTTGTATAGTCCTGGCGTTAATTATGAATGTAAAGTTACAAATCTAAGTGCTTAGCCAAAGTGTGCAATAACAAGAAGGATTTAAATGTGAAACAACATCACTAGCAGGATCCATGTCACATATCTCAGTAATAGGAAAATAAGGTGATGCATCCATGCTAATTTTTAAGACTTCTTTTCTAGTCAATGGAAAGGAGTGGGTATCTTTGGAAATTGATTCATGTAACCCTAAAACAGATTTCAGAGGAAAGAGAGACACTTGTCTTCTGAAGGTCACAATATGTCTCTCTGCACTGGCTTTTGAGGGAGTTTAGGAACACCAGGGATTAAGTATCCTTTCAGGTATATTTCACTAAATAGGATAATCTGAATTTAAACTGTGATTAAAGGTAATTATGTAGTGTCAACTAAAAAATTCTTCAATATTAATTGTATGATTCTGAGCTTTACCTCCTCAGTAACCATTTACTTTGTTTCCTCTCCTTCAACAGGCATTTATAAATTGTTTACTATTTTATCTAAGACTTAAAAGTTGGCTCAATCTCTATTTAAAAGTTAAACAAAAGCTTAAACTTCACAAGTCTATATCTATCTGAGAAATATTCTGAGAAATAGCCTCTTTACAATTTAAATGCAAAATCCTGCCTCCTCTGCTTCCAGAGCAATGGATTTTATGTGATATATGATGTATCAATTTCAGTTTAGATCAATTATATTAATCTAAAATAATATTAATTATAGCTATAGATTAGTTACAAATTCGATATTACACATCATATGTTAGAAAAATAAATATATTGTGAGCTTACTTTTAAAATAATTAGTCTCCTAAGAAATGAGAATTTGGATGGAAGATTGCTAATCCAGTCAAATATGTTGACTACAAGATGATTGCAAAAAATCTCGTCATGTTTTCAATTGCTGGACATCTCTAAATTTAAAAATATGAAGCTCAAACTTTGTTATGAAAATCTGCATTCTTTCAGCTTCACTCTTGAAGTAAGAGTACACAAATCTTCTGGAAATTATTGTCTTTCTTTGCATGTGTGTGAGGTACATTGAATCTTTCTCTGTACTTGTTAACACCAGAATTGTTTCATTTCCTTTGTATTTCATTCTACTAGGGACCTTGTAGCACCTGGTACTGTCAAAATTGTTGGGAGAACTAAAAGCATGGATTTAATCAGTCTTAATTTTCACTTCAGCATTACTTGATGTGGTGTTCTTAAGAATTCTAGAACACATCCTTACTATTAGCACTACTCTTAAAAATGTTGGAAATACAATTTAAACAGAAGATCAGTGCACAAAGACAGAATTGTTCAGGTTCATGCCACTTGCATCAGATCACAAGTGAGCTCACAGTATCTGTTTAATACAAAATTTCATTTTGCAAATACCAATAAAATGTCCTCTACATAGCACCAAACTGATTTTTCAAAACTTTCTATGTTAAATGGGATTTGCAACTTGCACCTGTTAGCATAGGCATGACTGGACACACAATTTTGCCTCTGGACACTTATAATTTCTAATCCCTTTTCATAGTGTGGTATGAAGATGTTATGAATTAAAGACCAGGATATGATGTTGAAGACTGATTCATCAGCAAAGATGGCTTGCCTTGGGGTGGTTGGAATAATTTCCTCTGCTCTCGATCTTGCACTTCTCTGAGCATTTCCCTTGCCTGCCCAGGGGGGACAGCTCTGCTTCCTGTGAAGCAGAAGCAGTTTTTGAGCTACTAGTTGACAGACCAGTTAATTAAAATAAATTCATACCAATTCTTGTTTAGTTTATAGCTGTAGTCCTTGCAGCTGTAAAAAACTGTGGCTGCAAAAGTAACTGAGCCCTTCCTAAGCAACCAGTGGGTAAAAGGAGGGTGGATAGCCACACTGAGAATAAAGGCAGCTGTCCAAAGTTAAACCATCCCTGCTTGTGAATCAAAATCTTGATTATGCCAAGATACCTCTGGTCATGTCCATTCTACTAGTCCACTTTAACTCCTTAGCACCTCTAGATTAAAGTGTAAATAGCATCAGGGGTCCGGTCATAAATTTACTTTTTAAGAGCCTAAGTATAGGTATTCTTTCTCCTGGTTAACGCTTGAGAAGGCAATTTCTGGCAAATCACTTGAAAAAATTAAATCTCTACATCTCAATGCATGAAGACAATGCAAATAACTGTCATGCTAAACAAAGTAAATATTTGCTGGTTTACTACTCAATCTTTCTGAATAAAATAATGTGCACGATAGTGCACCAAATGAATTTCTTTATAACTCTGTCATTGCATCATGTCTTACCTTTAATTTATTTGATGTGTCTGATTGTTCAGCAGCACATACCTGTATAATACAATTTTCACAAAACATGAACTATAATATTTCTTTGGTCTGCATTATCAACAAGCATATGCAAACCAATAGAAAGTCAGCCTGGTCTCTTGTGTTTCAGAATAATTAATTAGAAATAAAATGAACATGAATAGTGATTCATTTATATTTCAAATAAAGCTACATCTAAGTTTTGTTACAGCACTTTAAGAAAATACTTAATAAGCACTTTTCCTACTGCTGTCACTGAAAAAGTTCCTTTAAGCCTGCACCTTGCATGATTTTTAGCCTGCAAGTCCATGTAAGACTGCTTTTCATTTTGGCTTGTGAGTCAGAACACTGCAATCAGAAGTAGTTCTGAATAGACTTGTCTTTAGCTTCCTACTAAAATCTTTACCTACAGAAAGACAAGAGAGAAAGACAAGGTTCTCACCTTGATAATGTTAAATTCAGGGTACATATCTCTATCGAAACTCCTGGGAGCAAGACTAGGCCAGAAGCTCAAATCACATTTGAAGTCTACCTTCAGTTGCTTATATTTGTGGAAAAGCTTTGCACAGACCAGGAAATGACTCAGTCTGCAGTTTCAAGTACAATGGGCAGAAACATGGACTGAATGAGGGTTTTCCCTCTTCCTAAGCAATGTTTGGTACACAGTTCAAGAAAATAGAAAATTGCTGCACAGAATGGTCAGAATTCTGTCAGAGATGGGAAAGTCCCTCTGAAGTAGTGTGTCAGGTATGGAGAAATATGGTGAAGTCCCAATTGGAAAAGCCTTTAAGGGAGTACTAGTATTAGCCACTGATGGCTGCGCTGCCTGAGTGTGGATCCAGTGTGGAGCAGAAGTCTCACTTCCATCAGAGGTTCCAGGAACGTGACAGACATGAGATTGCACAGCTTCCTTGTTTCCCAAGTTGTTTGCCTACAGGGGCAGTAAGACCAGAACAAGTTAAGTATGCACTTGTGCACAAGTGTACGTGAAAGAAATTCTAGAAAAGTTGTGAGAGAAAAACCAGAATCACAGGAGCATGAGTTTGAAAGTAGCGGTCTCTGTGCCATGATTTGCATCCGTGTTTATTCTGAGCTCAGGTTAATTTTGGTCTGAGTACGCACAGCTTTCTTCTTCCCCTCCTGTATGTGTGGTCTATGACAATGATGTGACCTGTCTGTGTAGCTAACCCAAGGCTCACCAATTTCTTCAGCCAGGACTTGTGTGAAGGAAGGGGCTCAGTGGGGAGATGGAACATAATTGGGACTGAATCCTAGATGGGCATCATGAGGCAGGGGATCTGAGATTAAAAACTGGGCTGAAATGAAGCAATTATCTAAGATGAAGAATATTAGAATGAAATCCATACTCATATTTTGCCCAGCCAAGCCCCAGAAGGAGAGCCAGAACTTGGAGTACAACATCAAACCAAATTGTACATTGGGTCCTTAATCACTCTGTGAACAAGTGCAATAAGATACATTTTATACCAGCCTTCCACAGGAAGGAGAGCTGTCCTCAAATGCTTGAATAATAAAAATTAACATTCACAATCCTTGTTTCTGCTAAAAGAGGTAGTATAATAAGTCCTGTATAAAATGAAGATGAACTTTTACTACTGAAGGAGTTGTTTGGTTTGGGTTCTTTTTTCAAATCGCTTTTGTTTTAAACTCTGCACTCAGGAAGATCTGTTCACAAGCTCAGCACAGAACCACTGAGAATCATTCATGAGACACTGGAAGAGTCTTCTGATTGGATTTATGGCTTTTTTTCTTTACTGTCTGACATCGTATGGAGTGATGATGATGACAGTGATGAAGGTATTTGTAATGTAAAGACTTCTGTAACTACTCTAACTGCTCTTTTTACACGCATTAAAACGGCTTACTCAGCTTTTAACATCACAGACAAGAAGGTCAAACAAAAATGAAAAGTGAACATTGTTGCTAATAAAGCATCCACTGGCTATTTTAATCAGTAAATTGGTCTCTTTGTTAGCTTTCATCTCATGTTTAATGTACTATTACAGAAAAGCTGTCAGAATTAAATATGACCATTAGTACATCTTGAAGAAAAGAACACTAATTTATATACGACTTCAAAGCCACAACCAAAATATGCATCAGGATATTGCTTCGGAGAATGGAAATGACTGTTTTCTTTTAATCAGCAAGAATCTAAAGAACCCTGGAAAATATTCAAGATACATCAAGAAATTTAGAACTTTTTTCAATCTGACATATTGATAATGGGGCAATATATTGAAATGGAAAAAGAATATAACATTTCAACTGAACTTATGGGATTTTGGATGTCATATTGCAAATAATTCAGTTTACTAGAAATTATTTTGCCATTGTGGTACCATTCTTCATTACATAATCAGATAAAAAAAAGTAAATTACTAATATTTTTATTTTGGAAATACTCTCTTTCTGTTAATAAAAAAACAAAACTAAACCAAAACAAAAAAATAAAACCGAGTTCCCCAGTATGGGCAGAGACTGCTCACAGTCAGTAGTGGATCATCATGTCACATCATATTGGTCATTCTGACAAGTGATTAGTGTAGGAGTGACATCTTCATTTCATGGTAGTTTATTTTACATTCCATTTGGCTACACCAGAATATAATTAAAAAGTGACATGTACTGAAACTGACTTCTACCCATTTATTCAGAAACCTGAGATATTACCAAGTGTTTACCTTTTAAATGTGTGCATGAGCTTTTTATATTAACATCCTATATGAATGCTAATAGATAGGCTGCTACACATGGGTCTGTGAATTGGGCATCCTATTCTGAGATATGATTTATAACTTGCAGAAAGCCAGTCTCTCCTAAGGCTGACAAACAGAAAAGATGAAAAATAGACAGCTTTGTAAAATTTGATCAGTGTGTATTTTTAGGGTTTCATAGCTCCCAAAGCACGTGCAAACTTTCAAATACTCAAGTGTCTAAGTGTTAATGGCAGTAGGAAAAGTCATGAAATACCTGACAGACAAAAATTCAAGATCTGATGTTTACTAGATTTGGAAACCTTAGCTCTGGCAGTGTTTTGCCCAAGTGGAATTTCATCATCAACCAGGAGTGTGAATAGGCAGCAAGGTGTCTTACTGCACTATATCATAAAAATTAAGCGCTTTCAGCACCCTGCCCACTCTGTGCTGTAGTCAGTGCAGCTGAGGCTGCACCCAGGCCAGTCATTCGGGATCACTCCTTCCAATTCCATGTCCTACATGGAGGTGCAGTAAATATATAAATATATAAATAACATATTGCAGCAATCAAATGCTTATAGTTACACTGAAATGGATTCTTTTTTGCCTTGGCCATTGCTAGATTTATAATCTTGCTTAGTTTCATATATACTTTATTTGGAATTTAAAAAGAGCCAGTGAGCCTTTCCTTAAAATGTGGAAACATGCATAAAGTAAAGTAAATTTTTAATTGTAGTCACAAGTTAATATACAGAAGCATGAATAGATATTTGGATATTTCCTTAGTTACTACTGCACCTTGAATTTATCTACCCAAAACTCTATGGCAATTTAGATTTTTAATGAAAAATGCAAAATCTCAGAATTGATGCTTGTTATTTAGCATATAAAGAAGAAAAAATATTTTTTGAAATAAAATGAGCCGACATGAAAGAAGGTGCTGTTTTTTGGTTTTGTTTTGTTTTGTGAGTTGTTTTTGCCTTGGTTTGGTTTGGGTTTTGTTGGTTTGTGGTTTTTTTTAATCTTTTCTCTGATACCTGTTTTTTTCTCTTGGTTTAGGTGAAGTGGAACCTTCCCTGAAAAAAGGTTGGTCAGTTGCTTGATAATAGAGGGAAAATATTTAGTAACCTTTTTAAGAATTGATTGTATATCTGTGATATAAATTCTGACAATAGTTACATGGCAGTCTACTAGCCTTTTCAGTGGTGCTCTAGCAAACCTCTTTAATGTAAAACACAAATAATAATATTTACTGAGCTGTTTGTTGTAAGAATTTGTAAGAATTCTTTACTATTTCATTATTAACTTACTTACTATTTCATTACTCTTTATTATTTAATTATTACAGAAAATCTGAAAAAAAAATAATATAAAAATAGAATTACAGAAATGTTATTTATGTCCTTGCCATGCTTGTGGGACTTCTCTTAATGCAAAGGAGTTATATGTATGTCTGTAGAGAAATAAAGTTCAGGAATAATAATATGGAAAGTATGTTTAGTGAGAAATAATGATGAGGTACTGTCAAGCATTTTACCTGAAGCCAACACAGGCCCCTAAAGAAAGGACTGCATCCTAGTCTTCTGAAAAAATTACTTAGTTATCATCGAATTTTTAAAGCAGACAAGTGAAGGAAGTAGGATTTATATTATAATCTTTATGGATATTGAAATTGTTTTGCTGAAACATAAAACTTATATCCAACTCCTATTAAATCAAAATGCAAATGTATTAGAAGGCTGGAATTACTGATGATAGAATGTAAATCTTTTCAAAACTAGGGCATGTTTTTTCTCCATATTTAGCAAAGCTGAAGAATAGTAGGATGTGTAAGCAGCCCTATGTGAACTGAATTCGGAATCCATCAACTTCTCAAGGGGTAAATGCCCATATTGATGAATCCAACACCTCAGTTGCTTCTGGGATTACAATCCAGTTTTCTCTGAAGTTAAATGGAACTGGATCAGGCTTCTATTTAATGAAATAATCTGTCAATCTTAATCTGTAATCCAATTAATTAATAGTCTTGAAGACCAGGAGCAGTTATCTTTCTATTGACTACTCCACATGTTGGGAAAACTTACAGACAGTGTAGCAAAAGATTTTCTCTCTTTACTTCATCTGTAAGAACTGTAAAACCTTCAGCCTTGTGTCTTTTCCCATAGAGACAGGTGCATTTTTAATTTTACAGAAGGTGCACAGAGCTGTAGCACATTGTTGGCAAGGATGTCCATGGGTAGAATGTGTCTTCTCACCATGGCCCAGTGCAGGGGCCAGGCTGAAAGTGCTGTTACTTCATGGCTAGGAAGGCATAATCCATAAAAACACTATGGACAGCACCATGCTCAGCATTGCAATCCCTTCTCTGGAAATCAGTGATATAGGCCTTACCCATTGCACTGGGGCAGAAAGACATAGAAACAGAATTTGGAGAAGTCATCTAAATACGCTCAATGCTGTGTAAATTGTAAGCAATTGGAAGTTACTGTATGGTTGTTTGGACCCAAAATTGCTCCATCCAAGGAGTTGAGGATCTAACTGCCAGCTGGGAATGTTTTCCTCACTGTTCAAAGCTTCTGGCCCTGGACATAAATCCTGAGAGGGTCTTCTATCTTTGTTATAAAGGTTATGGACAAGAATCTGGTGATTTCTCCTGATCTGGTACCTTACAGGATAATGCAGACACACAGATGTGAAAAGGCCCAAATTCAAACATGTTTCACCTTCCAGAACAGTAAAACAAATTTTGAGTGGGCTTTTCCACTTCCTGAATGTGTGCTCAAGATTTTCCTTCTGTCTTTTAGAGTACAAGCATTCTTATCCTTGTGTCCCTGCACAACACTTTCTTTTGACTGTGCCTGCTGAAGATAGTGCCCCTTTCTGTCATAAGTATTGCCATAAGCTTTCACATAGCAACATCCTCAAATACCTTACCATCCCCAGGTGACTGAGGGTCTCCATTTCATCCTGGCAGCCAGGATCTGGCCTTGTTTGTACTTGATTTTGTCACCTCTTTTACTGAGCTACAGAAATACAATATATGTGGCCTGAAGCCATGAGTCCCTTGCATATGCCAGTGCAGAGTACTGCACGTGTCTCCTCAGTGACCGACACCTCTCAGCCCCTCAGAGTTATTCCTGTCTCTCTGCAGACTCCTCTTAAAACTGTATAAACATCAAGGAGCTTAATTTCTGGGGTCTAAGGCTAAACAGAAGCTTTCTGAGAGTTCTGTGGTGTAGTGTAGGGAACAGCTTTTCTCCTTAGGCACAGTAAAATTCTCTCCCAGCGCTGAAGGTCATGAGCGCAGAAGGCAGAGCCCTGGGAGGTGAGCTGGGGCTCAGGTGAGCTCCTGCAGGTAGCACTCTCACAATCAACACAATCTGCTCCCCTGAGCACAAGGTGCAGAGCTCTCCAAGCAGCTTCTCTCAACTAATTTGTGCTGTCATTTACATGGTCCATAAATAAGACTTCCAGAAGAAAAGCTTTCTAAAACAAAACAAAACAAAACAAGACATGGCATTGGTGATTCTTTCCATGTTGCTGCTGTTAGGGCTGGACCCAAAAGAAGACCATCTATACAAATCTGGAGATTTTTGGGTGTCAAAACTTTAGTTTTATTCATAAAACTTTAGTTTTATTCATAAAATTAGAACCAATTTTTTTGGTTTGGAGTTTTCTCTACCTACTTGTAAAGGGCCATTTCTGCATTAAAATCCCTTCTACTCTGAGCAGCAATTTCATCTATAGTTTTATGAAAGATCCTTCTTTAGGTGACACTGGCATTTGAACATTCTAAACAAGAAAAAAAGTACCAGTGAGATTGTGCACTACACTACTGCTGTCTCCAGAATATGAACAAATTGAAATTTTTTCACATTTTTAAGGAAAATCTCTCTCAAATTTCATTCTGGAAATGTGCACTATGGTTGCTGGGCCTGATATTTAAGTGTTTCTATTGGATTTAACTCAAAGTTATTGTGGTATTCATTAATAGAATGAGAATTTTTGAAATATCTCCATGTCTGTTTTTAGTGAATGGACAAGCCTTCACTCTAGCAGCCTTTTTGAATGCTAAAATGTTTGCACAAAATTTACGTT